AATAACTGCTCCATTTCTTCTTTTCCCCCTTTACTTCAATTGCTAATTTACAAAATATGGAGTGATTAAACCAAGGTACTCCTTATCCTACTTCATAATGGGACTCATAACTTTTGGCAAAATATCAGGATACAGTGCTCTTGATCCAAAGACAACTAAAACACGGGTGAAAGCAATGTGTGTGTTTACCTTTACAAAAGGTGGTGCCCCTGGGGCAGGCGATCGGTAGAATGTTCCAGCCATGGGACATTTCATCGGAGGATGTGAAGACTTCGGCTTTGAAGGCGCAGGTGGCGGAAGTGCAGGAGCTGCTGGAGCCGCAGGAGCAGGGGCACTTGCAGGAGGCAACTGTGGTTGATAAAAGCCCTGCTGAACAGAAGGTGGGGCCATAACAACAGGTGGCTGGGGCAATGCTGCCTTCTTCCTTATAAGGATTTCACAATCCTTTTGCTTCAGCTGCAGCTCCACAATGTCCCTCGAATCTACAAGCCTAAGCACAAAAACCCAAAAACTTTTAACTCTAGCAAAAGACGAGAAAAAGAACTAAACAGGTGACGAGAGCTCAACGCACTCAACAAGATCGGCTGCTTGAGACATGAATGCTTGAATGGATGAAGCATCTGGAATTGAGTACTCAGTCTTTGGGACTTCCTCCAAGCTTTTCTCAGAAGCTGGTTTTGAATTGGTCGACTTGTCAATAGCAACCTTACAACAACAACAACATTAAAGCCTCAGTCTCAAACAAGCTAGGGTCGGCTGTTTGAATCCCGACTGACCATGTTAAACTCATTTCACGCCAATATTGTACAAGAAAAGTACAAGAATTTTTTTACAATTACTACTCTCAATAGCAGCCTTAAATTTACAAAATTCATTCAATCAAGTAAGCTTCAATCCCAAATTAACTGAAGTCAGACAATATGAATCTTCTGTCTCTTTTCTTTTTCCTGATAAATCAGAACATATAATGATTCAAATGATACATTGAGATAAAACTTTTTCACTTAGATATCACAGCCTACAGCAACCTCCTAGTCTAAAATTACACAATCGGACCAATAATTTTATCACAGAACTTCTCTTTCTGGGGGTCAAAATTTTAACAAGAAACCTGGAATATCAAAGAAAATTACCTCATTGAGCTGGGCATTCACCTTAAACACCTGAGATTGGAGTCGACTGGACCCCTGAAGGAAAAAAAAAAAAACACACTAAATTCAACGAAATGCATGGTAAAGCTTCAATCTTTAAGATTTACGTCAAAGGGAAAACAAACCTGAAGACGAGGGAGCAATGCAGGAGTGGATCTCAAGGAAACGGAGACATGGGGTTGTTGGGTGGAGCTGGAATGGGAAGAAGCAACGGATAAAACAGAAATCTTGGGACAAGGAACACTGAAAGAAGCCATTGGAGAAAAGGGGATATTCAATTCAAGAAGATTGTGATTGTGATTGTGAGTGGGAGTTGGATGGGTTTTGTAGAAGAGAAATGGACGGTGAAATTGATGAGATTTAGCAAGGGAAATCCGAAGAAAAGGAATTGGGAAGAAAAGGGGGGCGATAAACACGAGGGGAAAGGGACGATGCGTTTTAAGCTGGCACTACCAGTTTGCCAGATGAGTGGAACAAAAGGGTTAAAACTATACTGTATTTAGCCTAATAAATGTAACAGAAAGTTTGGTTTTGTTGTTTGACTTATTTCCTTGCTCTTGACATTTGGACCGATGGTGTAATTTTAGGAAAGTTACTTTCTACGCTGTAAATATTTATATTCAATAGTTAAATTATACATATATTAAATATTTATTGACTATATTTTTAAATGAGCGACTATATAATTTTAAAAATCTCAAAAATATATTTCTTACATTTATTGATATTTGGATTAAAAAATAAGGAATTGTTAACTTGTATGACTATCGGGAGCTCGCCTCAATATTTACCCATAATACACAAAGCAGCAAAGCTATTTGCACCTCATAACCAACAAATCCTATCGTTCCCTTCTAGTTGTAAAAGACGTGATAAATGACATCTATTCAATTCTTGTTAAAATTGTAAAACTAACTACTATGCAATACTTCTACACGCAGAATATCAGAAACCTCTTGAAAATTCTAATTGCACCAATCATAAGTTGGTACTTTGATAGTGCATTCATAGTTTTTTCAGTGATCAAAACCTTGGTCACGCTATGCATGTTTATCTCAATGTCTTCTTTATGCACACGATAGATCATTGAAGTCTCCTATTATTTATTTTACCTTAATTGTCATATATGATGGTAGATGTCGACCTTATCATTTGTGATGGTAGGTATTTTGGCTCATATTTATTGGAAGATCACTAGGAATTCGAACCACACAAACAAAGAGATTTTGAACCCCTTAGTCGCTGGCCTGGAGCTTTCGTTCGAGTCAAGGGGATTCAAATACGTTATTTGAATAAAATCAAATTGTGACTTGTCAACAAAATATAATTTTTGATCGAACTAGGTTCAATCGAATAAGTGTAGCTCCATCCCTACATTAGTCTAGACGATGTTGATTAATATGCTATACTAGCTTCTTTTATGATTGGAACGTTTGAACAATAGGAAGCAAAAGAATAAAGGCAAAATAATAAGTTGTCACCTGACCTATGACCCAAAATCCTCCTTACACACTTTCTGTGGACGATAATAATATTACACACACAACCTTTCTAAAGTGTATCTAGTACACACCATCTTTTTGTTGACCAACTTTTCAAAATATGTGTAATATCATGCACCAATAATATCGTGACACGTGTCAAAATAGAAAGAAAATACAATAAAATACCTAATTTACACCATAATTAAAATTTCTTCTTTAGAAAAAGAAAAAAGAAATAAAAAAGATCCCCCTTTCCCGCTTTTAGTAATTCCTTCCCCCCCACCCCCTGCCCCAACCCACTTAATCATCTTCTCCACAATCTTTCCACCATTAACGCCATAGTTAGTAGCACCGTGTCCCATTTTCTCAATATTGCCAATGGAGCTTGACTCTTAGAGATGAATAAGAGCTAAAGATGCCCATCTTCTTCTACAAAAAAGTTTTTTTTTATATTAAAATCACCATTGTCATAACACCACTACCGCCATTAATTTTTAGAGCAAAATTCACAAACACTATAAACCCCCTTTCCAAACCCATTCAATTAAAAAAAATGAAGTCAAAGAAAGAATCAGCAGATCTGAAAATAAAATTATGAAAAAATATAGAGAAACTAGTCATTGATTTCATTAGCAGATCTGAAAGGGTTAAATCTTGGAGGAGATGACTAATAATTTAGAACTTGGATCTAGCTCTACAATTATTGTTGTGTTTTAGAGTTTAATCTATGGAGAAGACAAAGTGGGTGGCCAGGGGAAGAGGAAAACGTGTGGGGTGGTAGGGTGTGGAAAAGGGACCAAATTATTTGGAGATGAAATAGTTAAAAATAGAAAAAGAAGAATTGACTCAAAAAGAGTTTAAAAGTAAAAAAGGCTCGACATATGGCGTTTAACTAATGATTAAGACCCAAAAGTTTTACATTCACCCGTCTCTTTTACGTGTAAAAAATGCGCGCGCCATCTGTCAAATGTGGTGTGTCTAGATACACTTTAGAAAGGTTGCGTGTGTAATATTATTATCGTTCACAGAAAGTGTGTAAGGGGAATTTGGGCCATAGATCAGATGGCAACTTATGTATTTTGCCAAGAATAAAGGAAAAGTTTAACGAATATGGATATATAGTTCTTCCTTGGTGTCCCATGAATAATGTTCAATGGGATAGGAAGATGCTCAAGGGATAGAATTAGCACAAAGAAAAATATAGGGTAATTTTGACCCTCTAACTTTACTTTAAAAGTTAAATACCTCTTCCAACATTGAATAATTAATATTTGCCTTATCTTTCGTCAATGATCACGCCCAACTATGCCTTATAAAAAGGATTAAGCGGTCGTTGCAAATATAATCCGGTTTACAAGTACGGAGTCGAATCCCACAGAGAACTAAGGCTTAGCTACAGTTGTTCAATATCGCTAAGAAATACAAATCCAAACAATTTCCTAATTATAAAGATTATAATATTTATTTTTATCTAACTAACTAACAAATACTAGAAAGCAGTAAAACTATGAATTAACAAGGATAAGGATTGGAGACAAGATTAAGGAAGCCTAGAGTTATGATTTTCCTTATTGTCGGAATCCTTTCCGCTACGTTTTCTATAAATTCGCCTAAGTATTCTCTACCGATCATGAGCACTCTGACTATCGTAACTCTCTCCAGAGTAATTAGCACAATTTACTAGACATATTCTCCCGATTTACGCTAGTTAGCATTAAGTACGGCTCACTCGGATCGCACCCAAGGCTTCGTTATCCATAATCCCACCTTTAAACCCTTCGTATTGATCCCCCATATACGTTAGGAGTGATATTGTTCAACAACTACCTAAATATGCACTCTCTCCCGAGTCATACATACTAAATAAGCACAGTCGATTGAGGGCACTTCAATCAACAACAATAATAACGTAGTTGAACAAATAGAGAGAATACTACAGCAAATCTATATTAACATAACAGGAAAATCATCCTCCAATAGGTTCCATCAAAACCCTAGATAACAAATTAGCTATTCATAATAGTATGCATAACTACGATACTAGAATTCATAACCAATAATGAAAATAGGAACAAGGAAGTGAAAAACTCGTAGAAGAATTCTCCACCTTGCTCCTAGTATGTTCTTGCCTCCTTAGGTCGAACCCCCGGTCTCCTTAGCCTCGTTAGGTCTAAAGTGTGTCAAAAGTATGTCCCCCTTCCTCAAAATAGCATTTTTACATGTATTTATACCAAGTAGGGTCGGATCCAGATGAAAATACCTTCTCCCGCATGAAATAGGACACTCACTCTGTAAAATTTGCACTACCGCACCGCATGGGGCGACGCGCCATGCGGGGAGGCAATGGAAAAGCTCAGATTGCTGATTCTGACAGGCTGCAGAAAATTTCCACAGGCGCGGCGCACCGCGTGATGCACCACGCACCGTGGTAGTGGGAATTTGCGAAAATGCAAAACGTGAAAGTTGTTTCTGTTTCAAATAGCTTTCCAACGATATATTGTGGAGCCTAAATAGAGTTTTTAGTGAAAAGTTATGTGTATTTTACTAGACACTGCACCGTATGCACGCTTGATTCTTCGTTTCGTTCTTAACTAACATTCGTCGATCCCCGAGCACGATCCCGACTTGATTCCTTGGGCTTTTACTCAGAATTCAAAGCTCCAAATCACTTGATTCATTCTGTAACATCTATATAGCTTAGAATCACTCCTACAAGGCGTAAAATACACAATTTAGTACAAAATACTAGCGATAAGCTCAAACTCAATTAAAGTGCAATACATTAGAGTGTAATAAGCGACTAAAATACGTAATTATAGCCTATCATCAGTCAACATCCGGAATAATTTTAAACTAATTGACGAATGTAAATATAATTTTTCTCATATTTCAATTTATATGGTGCCCCTATTTAATCATTTACCATTTGTTGCATTTACAATAATAATTTTTTTTAGTTGAAATAATAGATGATGTTCATATTTTATCAAAAAAGATAGAGTAAAATGTTATTAATGGGATAGAATTTGGATCCATGTATCTGTTTTCTCCAGAATTATCTCCCCATATATCACTCTACAAATGCACCAATCATTTTTGCTTTGCGCCCCACGATCAAGATAAAAATAACTAATCTACTTTACCAAGACTTGCTAGAATTGATGACAGAAACAAATGGAAATCCAGTTAGGTGTCTCTCATCCTCCTGTTTTTGGTTGCCATAGTCTTTTTTTCTTCTTTCTCAAATATTTCTTTTTGTAGATTTTGGATTCTATTTCAAAGATCTATGATATTACTAGAAAAGTAGAAATATGATGTGGAATTATAATTAGTAGAGATAAATTAGGGAGAAATAGTTTATGATTAATATTTAGGGAACCCCATAAATTAAAAAAAATAGAAAATTATATTTTGAAAGGAAAATGTCAATTGTTCAATGTTGGGTGAGATGTTTGGTTTTTAAATCAAAGTTAGAGGGTAAAAATGATTTTCCCCCGAGGAAAAAATGTTATGAATATGCTACATTTTCAATCCCTAATATTATACGCGGGATATTACATTCAAACACCATTCTTTTGACAACTATGTTTAATTTGTTTTGTTAGATTAATTTTTATAAAACCATAAAATAAATAGTATGCTTTAGTGTGATATATTTTACTAACTAAAGATACTTTGGGCCCATTTGAATGGAAGAATCTTGGCTAATCTCAAATTCTTTGTAACAGGCGGATAAGAGACAAACAAATACAGAGGTGGTGCATTATTACAAAGAGGTGAATCTAAAATTTATATTTGACGGGTTTAACATTTTGGTTCTTACTATGAAACCATTATCATTTAAAAATTACAGGTTAACATTAAAAAAATTCTTGCAAGTTCAGTAATTTTTAACATATATATCTATACTCCATATAAAAAAATGATGGAATCTTTGAACCATGCTACAACTTTCACAACTATTAATTTTAATTATATAAAGATCAAGGATTTT